TGTATATAGGTCTGGGAGCATAGGACCATCCGTAATAATCCCACACATGCACAGGAAATGTTTTTTCTATAAATTGATAGAGTTTTTTTTAATTTTTAATGGGGGAGTGGGGGGGGGGGGGGGGGGGGCAGTAGAATGTTTAAAACAAAAATACTAAACGATTCTTAATTGAAATGACTAAATAAGCATTTTTTTTCCTATTCTCCTGTCTTATAAATGAAGTCCCATTACTATATTAGCCCGTTTAAAGATAAAGAATGCTAAATATTTTTAATGGATGTCTTGATTACTAAAATGTATCTGAAGGGGTCCAGGACAATCTTTTACATTGTCTGTCTTCGTCATTCCAAACGTGATGAAGCAGAGTGATTTAAGTGGCTGCGTGTCCTGTTCGTGAGAGATGGCAGATTAGAGCAAGAGAATGTACAAACGGATTGCTAATATGAGGGCAGCGATCCGTTCTTTTGTGGCGAAAAGTGTGTGTGGGGGGGGGGGCAAAACGCAAAGCTCCCAGTTTATCGGACCAACCTTGTTTTTCGACTGTCACCCCTGGTCACAGATCTGGCTCATGACCAAAAGAATGAGATCGCTGATACAAGTGGCTAAAATATATATGTGTTTTTTCAAAAGGTGGCAGGACTCGGCTTTAGAGACAGGGAGAGGAGCTTGGATTTTTAGTTGGACTTGTATGGGGTTTGGGTTTGCCTCCCGGTGGAGGTTTTCCAGGCACATCCTTCTGGAAGAAGACCACCAGTGTAGATTCAGAACTACGTGGAGAGGTTCTGGATCCCGTCTGGCCTTGGAATGCCTCGGGAGTGTTGCTGGGGAAAGGGATGTCTTGGTTTCCCCTTCTGTAGATTTGTTTTGAACTCCTCTGGACTAAGTAGAATGTTTTCTTTTAAAATTGTGTTCTCGGATTTGGTTAGAAACTCAGTGGTGATGGCTCTGTCGAGACTCTGCCGGTCCCCGTAGCTCATTGTCCTGACATCGCTGTGCTTCTGCTCGCGTCTTATTTTTTGGTTTTGTTTTCGTCAGTCTTTTCGGGAAACCCTTTGATGGCGGGAAGAGGATGGACCATGGCGGCCCGCAGGAGCAGCAGCAGCAGCATCCGACGGACCCCCAGCAGCAGCCCTACCACACGCAGCACCCGGCCATGACGCGGCTGTACGAGGTCCAGAGAGAGGTGTCGTCCCTGGGGCCGCAGGTGTGCACCTTCGGCGGCCTCCAGAACGACCGCGAGTACAAGCGGCTGGAGCGGGAGCTGACCCGCCTGCTGCTGGAGGTGGACAAGGTGGACACGGAGGGCCGGCCGGAGCTGCAGGGCGCGCGCAAGCGCGCCGCCCAGGAGGTGGAGGGCCTGCTGCGCTACCTGGAGGAGAACGCCTCGCACCCGTCCCGCCGCGCCATCGAGGACCTGAGCGAGCGGGCGCGGCAGCTGGTGGACGAGCGCGTGGTGGCGCCGCAGCGGTCCGGCGGCGCGGCGGAGATCGGCGACGAGCTGGTGGACGCCCTGCAGGAGACGGTGCTGCGGCTCACCCAGGTGAAGACGGAGGGCCGCGTGCCGCTGCGCAAGGCCCGCTACCGGGCGCTGACGCGCCTGTGCGCCGTGCAGGACGTGCTGGAGGGCCGCACGCAGCAGCAGACGCTGCCGCTGCCGCTGTCCGGGGACACGCACGAGGCCGTGCACCGCATCAACCAGATCATGGTGCAGGTGAGCGTGGCCCGCGGCCAGCTGGTAGCGCTGCTCATGGGCCTGAGCGGCAGGGACAGCTGCGCCCACCTGTCCCGCATCCTGACCGAGATGCAGGTGGAGCTGGACGCGCTGGACGTCTCCGGGAACGCGGCCATCCGCAACTACCGGAAGCAGGTGGTGGAGGAGATAAACGGGCTCCTGAAACACCTGGACCTGGAGGGGGAGGGAGACGACACGCGCAGGTACCCGTCACTCAAGAAGGAGGGACTTATTTCAGTCTAAAAAGGGTCCACTCTGAGGATTTGATTTCTTACCTTATGCATTTTTTCTAAACCACAGTGTCTTTTTACACCAGCTGACCATTTGCGAGAGGATAGATAAGATGTGGATTTCTTTTTGTTATTTAGTAGATTAAAGTCACTTCACCACAGAGTATGCAGTACTATTTATTCTATTTTTTTTAGCACTATAAAGTACTTCAATATGTAGAAATCCTGAAATGAGCACTGTCACTGTTCGTTTATACTCGAGGTTATACAAGGAAATAAACATGTATGTTAAATTAAAATCACATGCGAATGTGCTTTTATGCTAAGATGAATTTTAGCTTGGTTGAAGCTTTCTAGTCTTAAATATCCTAAAATAACACATGAAGGCTGTTGATTTGATTTTCTCATCATCTTTCTTATCTTTTTCATTAGTTGGAATCCCCCTGAGCGCTCTCATTTTAGCAAAGCAAAGCCCATTCATGAAGTAGGAGGCTCTGTGCGCTCACAGAGCAAGGAAAAGAGGAAAGATCGGATCATGATGACACATATTATTTTCTTTCAGTTTGTTTTTCTTCTGCTATATATAAAAAAACATTTCCTATTGATTCAAATTTATTTGGATTTGACGAAGGGGTTTTTGGCGCCTATTTATACTTTACCAGATAACAACCCAATTTGTGGAATGGAGTTTGACAGATTGTGTTTTTTTTGTTTTGAAGGTACGATTTAGCCCAGAACAACTCCATCCGGGAGATCGAAGCCGTGCGCGCCCACGTCTCGCACCTGCGGGAGGGCGTCCTACGGCACTGCGCGGTGGGCGACCTCGGCTTCCGGCCCAAAGCCGAGCTCCAGAGCCTCCTCACCCACCTGGACCAGGTGGACACGGCCAAGAACCCGTGCATCCGGGAGGCGCGGCGCCGCGCCGTGGTGGAGGTCCAGGCCATCATCACCTTCCTGGACCTGCGCGAGGCCCTGGCCCGCCGCCAGCCGGGGCCCGCCGAGCCCCCCTCCCACCGGGCCGTGTGGCTGGTCCTGGGCAGCCTGTCCGACCTCCAGGCGCAGGTGCTGGGCTTCGACGGCAAGCGAGCGGACAAGAGCTACATGATCTTGGAGGAGCTGCTGACCAAGCAGCTGCTGGCCCTGGACGCCGTGGACCCGCAGGGCAACGAGACCACCAAGGTGGCCAGGAAGCAGGCGGTGAAATTCGCCCAAAACATTCTCAACTACCTGGACATGAAAACGGACGAGTGGGAGTACTGATTGGCCGGGGAGGTGCATGTCGATGAAAGTGTGTAAATAAGCCAGAAAAAAAAAAAAAGAAAAAAAACGGAACAGAACCAAAAAACTGGGACGTTGTTATTCCACGGACTGTACATATTGACTCAAATCCCCAGAGTGCACTGCAGCAGCTCTCGTCTCTCATCTTTTGTGGTAGTCATGGCCAACACACAACTCCTTTTGTTGCACACGTTTTCGTTGTTTTTTTTTGCGCCTGTGAGCTTTTTAGCCATTCCTTTGATATTTCCTAAATGTGTGTGTGTGTGTGTGTCTGTGAATGGTAATCTGCTGGTAAAATACTATACTATTAATGCTTGTGGCGGCCTCCCCCGGCTCGTTTGACAGTAGTTAACGGAGACTACCAATGATGTGTTGAATAGGGCGGCCCAACTAGGACGAGTGGCCCTCTGCTATATCGAAAGCGGAGTTCAACCCCGATGCAATAACCTGCCGTTTCGGAGTGATTAACCAGTCCCAATATCAATATACGTTTTTAAAAAAGATGTATTATTTCTGTATTTGCGGAACTCAAAACCATCATTTCGTCAAACTTTGTTTGTAGCGGATGATAGACGAGCCGAAACGTCAAATGTTCAATTAGGAGCACGATTAATCCGCGATAAAAATGGGTTTTCTCTTCAGTTTAGGGAAATTCAAAGGGGCATTTTTACAGGGATCAGCTGGCAGCGAGGGGCACGTAGTCTGTGTTTAAACAGATTTATTTAGAGAGTAAGAGGTGGGCGTTCGCTGTCCTCGTGCACTCAGACTCCAGTGCTTCTGTATCTCTGTTCATCCCCCTCAGCCTTCCAGATCTTTTTAGGTGGCACTCCCAATTGTCCAGGAACAGCCGAGGCAAAAAAGGTGTTTGAATTCTTTTCCCCGTGATTTGTAAGCCATAGGTAGAGTTTTTAAGAAGGAGCAGGATTTGTTTGTTCGTTTGTTCGTTTCACATGTTCGTCCTCCCTTTTTGTACGTATATATATTGCACAAAGCTTAAAAATGGATAAGAACGGAGGGCAGAATTTAGCCGCTTTTTCCTCCTTTGTGCTCCTTTTTCTTCGTACTGACAGGAGAGTTTACCAGAGGTCTCGGGGAGGAGGAAGGGAGGCTGGGGCACTGATTCGGAATGGCAGGCCTGAAGCTCACAGAGCCCACATTTGCGTCCCGCGCAGCTCCGTATTGAGTTAGATTTGGGCTGACAGGGCCTTCCAGAAACTTCTTTGAGCCGTTGGGCGCTGCTGGAGACATTGTGATGGAAGAAGGGACATGACAAGTATAGGAACGTGAATCTTTGTGCCTTTATTTTCACCTATTTTCTTCTTTTTTTTAAACCGGTTCGTGGAAAGCAGCCTTAAAAAGCGCAGCAGAAAATAAAGCTTTTTTAATATGCATTAATGCACAAGAATGAGGAAGCTAACGCACCGAATGTGTGTTTCGGACAGCGCCTTGGCCATCGGCACCACGAGTATCTTGCACTTTGGCAGAAACGTAGGCTTTTTTTTTTTTTTTTCAAATGAAAAGCAGTGTTTATTTCCTGCTAGTCCAGGACAGTCATTTTGTTTGAATGAAGTAACTCGTCAAGCAACAACAGTACAACAATGGCAATTTTGGTGTTGGTAGCAGAACAATCTATATAGAAAACTGAACGATTAGGCAGTTAATAGACTTAACATCTTCCTGGAAAAAACATCGGTAGAGGAGGTAATCTTTCTTCTTAGCAGGAGGAACTGGCAGCTTAAGAAACAATCACGCCTCCGATTTTTTTTTTGTTTTCCAGGTGATGATTTGCCGTAGAAAGTATTCCCAGCTTCCACGCAAGTCCCCATCTTTTCTAGTGTGTGTCCTCTTGACTTTTATTGTAGAATTTGATAGAAGGAAAAAGAAGTTGGTTTACGTATCGGACATTTCAAAGGCAAATCCAGCAAAGCCGAAAAACTGCAACCCGGTTGACTTTTGGCAGCGTTTTGGCAACAAGAGGAAGAATTTTGTGTTTGTGTGTGTCTGTCTGTGTGTGTGTGTGTGTTGTCTTGCTCATGAATTACACACACATCTACCGTTGGACATGTGATTTGCAGCTGTGCCTGACATTTCTTGGCTGATCGGGCTGCGGTGTGGAACAAGTTGCACCTGATTGACTACAGCAACAAAGCCAAAACGGATTTGTTTTCCCATTTTTTCAGGGCTTTGTTGCTCATCCCAGTTGGGCAACTTGCTTTGAACTATGACCTCTGCTACACATTTTTTAAAACACGCGCCAATCAGCTCCTACGGACTTCAATATTCTTGTTTTTATCCGCTTCTTCAAGCTGCTTTCGGAAGGTTTGTGGCGCTCAGTGTCTCCAGGGGATGGAGCTGACTCATTCAGGAGGAAATCTGATTAGTCAGCGTTCATTAAACATCGCCGAGCCCGTCTGGCTGGACGCTCTCTCACGGCAAACCTTAGGCTCTCAGACCAAACCAACCCGAGCATACCTTAAGTTTACCCCCGCTTCGTACGCAGATCCTCACCCAGATGGACGTTTGCTCCCCACTGTCCCCCTCCAACTCTTTATCTTACTTCCTTTTTAAACAACATTTTGAATAATTGAACGTACAAAGTGTCTCAAAGCCTCACAACCAAACATGTTTTTTACTCCGCTTCCTATAGAACGGAAAAGGGAGGAAGGTAAAGAACACATAAGGAAGGGGAAAAAAAGTACTCCAGATGGATTTGTCAAAATGGAAGCGAGTGGTCATTTTTCAGTTATTTTGAAAATGAAGGCTCCCCCCAGAAACCGCTATCCATGACACTTAAAATGAGTTCATAATACGTTATGTGTGATCATATGCTGCATATTTGTTGGGGTGGGTGCCCCATGACTGAGGTTTTTCTCAGAAACGGGATGTAAAAGAGATCTGAGGACCAAATTAAAAGCTTATAGTTGGAGCTTACCATATCACTGCATAAGTTGGAATGCTTGAAAGTGGTGCATTGTTGACTTTTTTTTTTTCTTTTTCCTTCTTTTTCCTTTTTAATATATTGTGAACTGACAACACGCTAGCGGGTGTTTTTGGCTTCAGCTCCAAACCCCTCATCCATTACAGCTGATGTAAATATTTCAAATCAGCTCACAAAGTTGCAAATTTCCTGTCACACAGGAAGTATAAATGTCCACCCGCCAACAGACTAATCTAGAAAAAAAAACTTTTCTATCTTTTTTTTGTTTGTTTTGTTGTAGAATGTTTTTATGGTTGACATAAGTTATAAGCAGATAACATGCTTTTATATATATATATATATGTATGAATTCTATTTTAAAGAATTTTATTGTTGCTGTGCGAGATGATGGAAATGGATGTTATTACTACATTAGGCTGTTTAATTCAAGATTCAGTTTCAACAGTGTGATGAATATGGGCTTTAATTTCCTGCTCTATATATGCAGATGGAATAAAGTGCAGCCCTACATTCGTCACATCCATTTGAAACTTTGCCGGTTGGTTTTTCGTTGGCTGTATACGATAAAACACTATGGTAACTATTGTTGGAAACAAATTTAAAATTATGTTTAGCTTTACATTTTTTTTTTTTTTCAAAAAGCAAAGTTCTAAATTGTTCATTCTGTATTTTACAGCAGAAAATGTTAAGCTTAAAAAGATTCTTAGTATTCAACGACTACTTTTATTAAAAAACATTTTTTATTATTCAATCATTTCTTTCCATACCCCCCCCCAAAATAAAAGGTTAAAAAAATATTACACAGAAAAAAATAATAATAACTGAAATAATGGAAAATCAATACTGCCTTTATGATGCATTTCTGATAATATTCTTTTTTATCTCAATATATTTATATATCATTTTTAAGAAGGCAATTTGATAAGTTGATCAAAATGGGGGTAAACATTCAAAACTACGATCTCAACAGAGAATATATTGTCATTTTAAATGCTTCTGGTGACAGCTAAGCAGAGACCATCTGATATCACCACAGCCCTAAAATCATACACGTTTTCAATGGGCAAATATTATTCAGTTTTCTTCCCTTATTTTTCCTTTAACAAAGCCTTTGTTCAATCATACCAAGTGTTATTTAAATGTGGCTTTCTGTCACTGTCAGCAAGAAATATTATTTTGGATTGTCTGCTGAATATGAGACGAAACAGTATTTGTGAGCTGATTCGTTTAAAATTGATTTGAATTTGAATACAAGACTCAGACTATAAAATCTTCTTGTTATTTTCTCCTTGTACAGTTCAAATATTAAAAGCAATCCAAGGTAATTTAGAGTATCTTGGCTTGGTGGCACTGGAGTCCATTAGGCTGTTTTTGTTTTGTTTTTTTGTTTTTTTTCCAAGATTCTGATTCCGAGCCAGTGGAAATTCAAGGGCAGGTTTTTACAGGAGGATGCATTTAGAAGCCGACAAAAAAAAAAACTGAATGGCCCGCCGATGTAGTTTAAAGACTTTTTTTTTCTGTTTTGGGTTGAATGTTTTCATTGAAGAATGTTTTTTTTATTTCTTGTTACCAAAGTCCATTTTAAAAAGAACAGATGAAGCAAAAACAAGCGAGAGTTGGGAAAAAAGGGGTTTGAGGTAAATATTAGGATGATCCAAAATAGCTTTTGCCTCAAAGGATTGTTCATATAAAGCTGTGTAACAACTTGCAACTTGGATGTGGAAAAAGAGAAATGTCACTTTTCTTACATTAGCACCTTCCTTTTTATTACCATTCAGAATTTTTTTTCTACGAGCAGCCAGATTGGCCCAGTTTGGCACACTTGTGACAAAATGTTTAATATATTTTTATGTTAAAAAAAACTTTTGGTTTGCGTTCATGCCATGTCACCGTTACTGTTACTTTTTTTACACTAGGAGGCTAGAACGAGTCATAAGACTTTCACCAAGGGAATGAAAGTTTGTCTCCTTATACCATCTTGTGTTTACTCTTGATTTCACTTTAGATTTTCTGAATTTTCAGACTTTATTTTGGTTTTTTCGAC